GCGGGCCGGGGGCGCTTCTTCCGGGCAGTCCCGCAGAGCGGGCGGGAGCCCGGAGTGCCGCTGCTGTCTTGTTCTGGAGGCGTCCGTACAAACGGGGTTGCTGCGGGGCGCGGTGCCATCGCCGGTTGCGGTCGCTGTGTGGCAGAGCATCGACGATGGCACGTCCGACCGGCCGTACAGCCACGCATTGGTGGCGGGCATCGACCGCTACCCGCGGAAGGTGACTGCCGCGATGGGCAAGAAGAAGATCGCAAAGAGATCCAAGATCAAGTCCTTCGTGAAGGTTTACAACTACAACCACCTGATGCCCACCCGGTGAGTGTGGCTACCAGGGCCAGGGGAGCCTCGTCCACTCTCGGTGATGGAAGCTCTCGTACATTCTCTCTAGTGAGTGCTGGGAGGCGCTGGAGTTCTTAACAACGTGGCTGATTGCACACACTCTGCAAGACCGGGGTCTGGGGGGGCCTGAGGCTGGGGGGAGACATTAGCGAGCTGCTGATGTAAGGCAGGCAGCTCTTGTTTCAGGCATGCTCACTTTCCTCGGGCTGGCGGGGTGTCAGTGGATGAGGCTTTGAAACAGGCGGGAGGATCCGGGGGTGCTGGCAGGGCTGTGGTGGCCCAGTGGCATTTCTTCCCTATCCCCTTGGAGCTGCTGGTGCCAAACACAACCTGCCGGATAGAGCCGCTTGTCTCTCAGGAAGCGCGTAGCTGTTTCCTCTATGGGCTGAATTAAATACCTTTGGATGCTGTAGCGCTTGGCGATTTCCAGAACCGAGAAGGCTTTAAGAGCTGTAGTCCCTTACCCTGGTGCCAGTACGTGCGTTTGACCGGTTTGAGCTGCCCGCTGGGTTTTCGCCCTCAAGCCGGGTACCGTGACTGATTTTGAACCTTTGCTGCCCTCCTGCCCAGGTATTCCGTCGATATTCCTCTGGACAAAACAGTGGTCAATAAGGACGTGTTCAGGGACCCCGCTCTAAAACGCAAAGCGAGACGCGAAGCCAAGGTGAAATTTGAGGAGAGGTGAGTTGGAAGCTCGTCGGCACCTGTCCCTGCGATGAGGACTTCTCGTGGATGGAGTGAGAGGGAGGCAAAAATAATGTGGTTTATTCGTGTAAAACAGTGACTTAACAAAGGTCAGTGGTAAATGCGACAATAATTTATATGATTTGATGGCAAGGTACACTTTGTTATTTACTGCACAGAGGACAGGGTCAGACAAAACTGTCAGGGAGACCCTCCCGTTGAGTCATGAGGTTCAGGAAAGATCCCCTTGCTTTCTAAACTCCCTCAGAGAGGAGTCTAGGTGCAGCTGGATCCAATCCTAGTCCCAGACTTGGTCAACGGTTTATGTCTAAAGGATTATATATGCGCAATTAATCCTTTATGTCACTTAGCTAAGATTTCCAAGTTAGCATGCTGTTAGTCACTTACCGAGAATCTGTTGTGGTAAGGAATCTCTCAACCTCGAGGAGTAACCTTGAGAGGCGTCCCTGCTCAAGGGGAGATCCTGGCGTGCAGCCCGCTGCCGTGCAGGAGAGCTCAAAGCGCTCTTGGGCTGCTCACTATTGATGGGGGTAAGATAATTGGCTCATAGTCATATTTGCATACTGACCGCTGTGCTTAGATGGGCACATTCCACAAGAGCCCTTGGCTATTGCATTGTTATCTGTCTCCCCCCACACCCAGTGGGTGCATCCTTCAGGACCAGACACAGACCAGATGCATCCATCACCACGGCCGCAGGTGGTTATCACTTGAAAGAGGGCAAAGGAGGGGGAGTCAGAGACGAGGGGGGAGCACACCGCCGCAGGACTCGGCCTGGTTGTGCCGCAGCCTGCACGGGTCTTGGGTTGGACGCTTCTGCCCCCACTTTTTTGAAATCATTTTTGGTTGCGTGCGTCCCTCCTCTCCTTCTGAGCCTGTTTACGCGACTGTTTGGAGAGTTGGTGGGTTGTGATGAGGAACAGTTTACCAACAGCCATAGGCTCGGGCTGTGTAGCAGGACTGCCCCTCGCTTGCCTCTTGGGCTGGAAACCACCGTGGCGCGGGTGTCCTTCATGAGGTGACACAGTCTGGAGGCTGACACTCGCTTCCCTTGGTGATCCAGAGGTTTAAAGCGGGTGTAGCCACAGCTGGGGCTGTAGGGAGCAGCTGAATCCCCCCTGGGTTGGCTGGGCATCGCGTCCCCCCCCCAGGGGAGGATGCGGAGGGCTTGGGGCGCGGGTCTTGTGCCGTTTCCCGCTGGTACCCAGCATTCTCTAATCTTTGTCTTCCTCTTCCAGGTACAAGACGGGCAAGAATAAGTGGTTCTTCCAGAAGCTGCGATTCTAAAGGGTGTAACGAGGTTGCATCAATAAATGTTTATTAAAAACCGTTTGGCTTTGTTGTATAAAAAACAGCGTCGCTAGGCCTCGGTGGTGTTGCTTCGTGCGTCTGTAGGAGCTGTGGAGCGCTGTAGGGCCTCGCCGCTGTGGAAGGGCCTGTCCTGAGGCGCCTCTCGCTCCCCAGCCGGGCTGAGGATGCTCTTTCCCCCTGCCGAAGGGCGGGTTACATCCTGCCCTTGCTGCAAATCTCCCTTTCCCAAAACTGCGGTGATCCCTGTGAGAGTGGGGGCGGGAGCGGGAAGGTGAACGGGTACCTCCAGGTGTCTGCTGAGAAACGCAGCGAGGCCGGGTGGCTTGTGCAGCGATCGGCCCTGTACAACGTTAAATTTTTGGTTCCCTTCGTGAATGTTCGTTACCGGCGGAGCAGGGGGGGGTTACAGCGCAGGAGGTGCAGGT